ATGAAAGTTACAGAAAAAGATATGATAAGGAGGAAAAATTAAATCGCCTAGAGTAGAACGATGCAGAACGAAATCAAATGTCGCAAGGATTAATTGCAAGAAACACAACTCCGCTCAAAATAAACAATAAGTAACATAGAAGGTGTTTTCAAATTCATGTTACTGAACAAGAATAGGACTGGCTCTGACAATAGTACTGAATATTTTGTGCCTTCTATAGCTATTTATGCCTTCAATTTCTCCCACATAGTCCCAACAGTTTTTCATATAAAAGCCATCTCTCCTACAATTTGTGTCTGAAATTAAAGTTCGAAGATTGAAAAGATACCCAAACATCGATAATCTACGCACTCTCATGCACTAATTAACTAAATCTCACTTTAAATTTCTATTTATAACAAATCAATTAAAAAAAAAAATTATAATAAATCTCATTAATTTTTCAGATCCCTCAACTTAAGTCAAATATAATTTCTTTCTTTGTTGTTTTCATCAAAATTATCAAAATATCAAATTAAGAGTATACTCCATTTCACACCTCATTTAAATAAATACAAGTGAAACATTGCACGCATGACATTCAAAAACAACCCTTGAAATAAACAAAATGAGCAATCAAAAAAACAATTATCAACAGGTAGAATAATATTCAAAAAATTTGATTACCTTTTCTATTCAAATTATTAAAACACCCTTATGTCTGATAAAAAATAATATTGCTTATGTGTAAGTGTTGAAGTCAGTAAATAATCAGGATATCAAAAAAAAAAAAAAATTTTTCAACTCTTTATTTAATTTCTTTTTATTTTATAATACTTTTTATATTCATAGCCCGCCCGATTTCTATCACGAGAACACGAGAACAATAGGAAATCGACAATAAAACCACCAATTTAAATATTAAATAATATTTTTTTTTTCTATATAATTTGCCTTTTTTCCTTTCATTTCCAATTCAATGCCGGAATAAATAATTTTACGCCTTTTTTTTTTTTTTGAAATTGCTACCTTGTTTTCCATTTTATCCTTGTTCTTTTTTTTTTTATTAATTGAAAAGTTTATATGCAAAGTAAACCCCTTTAACTTGTTATTATTATTTGTATAACCCTTGTAATCGTATCCCAATATTGTTCGACATTAAACTCTTTACCTTCATAATTAACGTAAATACCTTTATATTTGATTTTGCATAATAAAATCCTTTATACGGTTCCTTAATATTTTACATTTTTCATTTGAGTATAAACTGAAGTGTTAACGAATGAGTGTGAATATTTTAATTTTGAAAAAAGTATCGCGCGATATTAAAATAATTGTGCGTAAAGTTAACAATACCTAGAACTACTATAAAAAAAAGGATATCAAGGACCTTCTTTTAATTCATTTATTTCTATATTTTATTTCCATTTAAATTTAGGGTGCATTTTGTAAAAAAACAAAAAACACAACCATTTTAAACGACGTCATTCCTTTCCTTTTTTAAATATTCATTATTAAATATTTAAATAATAAAAAAGGTATACATACTCGTATAATATGGTAATATCCTATTAATCGTTATAAAACTGCGCATATCATCATTATATAATATTAATTGTGTTGACGTTGTAAACATTATACAAATAATAGATTTAATTTTTGAATATTCAAGGGGTTCTTATAAATTTGAAATACAAATTTTTAAATGTATGCTAAAAAAATGTCAGGTATTAATATTGTTTTTTTTTACCTATTATTTATGTAACACTATAAAAATTGTTTAGCATATTATTACTTGTATATTTAGCGGTTAAAAGAAAAGGATACGATATAAGAAATTAAAATTTTTTTAAATTGCTATATTAATATTAAAGATATAATCATAAATTACGTAGTAAAACGAAGGGCATAATAAAATTGTATAGATATTTTGAATAGTGTTGACGATGACGACGACTATGAGGACGGTGATAACGATAATGAATATTCATAATAAATAACGGTATAAATATACGTAAGAAAGGTGTCCCTATATATATATATTTGCTTAGAATTTTAATATGAAGGGGAAAAATTTACATACCATAATATATTTTATGTATTCCGTTGTTAAATGATCCTTTTTAATAATATATCCTTGTAACCATATTAAATAAATTATGCGTATATTTTGTAATACATATTTGAATGTGTGTGTGTGTGCGTATGGACGAGTATGTTTACTTGATTTGAATAAAATATTTTGTATGATTTTAATTTTATTTTGATAAAATGATTGTATTTAAAATATTTTGTTAATAATTGAAAATTATTTGAAGGGTGCTGCTTCATGATTTTTAACCGTGTTAATAAGGTTAAAATAATTTTGTTACACAAAATCGCATAGTAATATTAATATGGGGAACCCTTAATTTTAATTTTTATTTAAAATTTTTTTTTCATTATAAAATTATTATAAACAATATAAATTTAAAATATTTCATACGCAATTTATTCATATTAGACAATGGATACTCTATACATGCTATGTACTTAGTAATTAACTGTGTTTGGTATATCTAAAATATTTAAATATTAAGGAGATGTTTCTGTGGACATGGTTGATTAATTAAAATTAGGTAAGAGAAATTTAAAATGAAAGGATAACAAGGATCTTTTGTACATGTGTGTGTGTGTTTTTGTATATAGAATAATGTAGGTGTTAATATATGTACATGAATGTTTGTTCTGATTCACAGATTGCGGTTATATTTAATTAAATGCGTAAATAATTAATAATTTATTCAACATATGTTATTATTATTATCGCACACGTCGTATCTTAACTGACATAACTCAAAAAAAATTAATTTTAAGAAAATTATTGAAAAAAACTGATTAAAAATTTTATAGAAAAATTTGCAACTCTTATTCAACCCAAAATTCCCATTCCGTCTGCGATTCGAATTAAATTTCATTTTACTAGAGCTCCGATTCCGATTCCGTCTCGAATTTACTACGATTTACTCCGACTGATTCGAATTCCTAAACTAACTCAAAGCACTCCAATTCGGATTCCATTTATGAGTCTTTATTCTTTGAGTATTCGGAATAAAATCCGAAACGATTCCGACGCCGAATTCTGTACAGACTCGGTTCGAGGTCGGAGTTGCTATTGGAATTGGGATTGACAGGACTCAGTACACGTTTTTGACTTGGGACACGACTCCGACTTTTGTATCGAAATTGAAAACATTAATTTTTTTAACAAACAACTCCGAATTTCTGAGAAATATAAGTCTTTCGATTTCGACTCTTCAAATTGTTGAATTAATTGAATTACCTTGTATTTAATAACTTAAAATTATTCGGTTTGGATATTATGGCATTAGTTTTCGAGTTATGAATTTAAAAAAAAATTAATTTTATAAGGATATTTGATTTCCGAAAATATTCCAATTTATTTTATAAACGAAATTTAGAATTCAGTTAAATGATTTCAATTAAAATTTTTTACCCTTATATACTCTATTAAATATGTAAGTAAAATGAATATTGAGACCTTTACCGTAAAATTCAAATTAATTTTTTGTATTCATTGAATAACGTTATTCTATATTGTAGTTTTCTTTCAGGCAAAATATTATAATAAGCCGTTATATACATAGGACTATATTCATATGGATGTATGTACATGCGTATATATGCAAAATTCAAAAACTTTTAAAGAAACTGTTATTATTATTTTTACCATGATTAGATTTCTATAATAAATACCGAAAAAATTCAATTTATGTAAAAATATTCATTCGGATATGCTGAATTTTAATTGTATACATAAACTTACATTTTACTATTTTTTCATCATAATAATAGAGCTACATTATATGCTTAATCCTAAAATTAAATGTTCGACCACATCATTAAAATTAATATTAGAATGAGTATAAGAATCTATGTGTACATGTGTATATATGCGTGTATATAAGAGAATATGATGAATTTTTGCAAAATAAAAATATAAAAGGAATTTAGTTAACTGTTAGAACGTGTTTGTCTCGTGTTTGACGGAGTTTTTTTTTTGGGATACTTAAAATCAAATATACGAAACGGTTAATTTTTACGGTAAATTTATTTTTATATTCATTCATATGCATATAATGTGTATATGGTGAGGTTTGTATGTTCTTCTTCTTCCTCTTATTGTTTATTATTAGAAATTTGTTAATAAAAAAAAAAACCCTTTTATTTTTTTTATTTAATTTCTTTGTTGTGGATTTGTACTTAAAGATTTAATGCCATAATTTGTCCTTGAAGTATGACAAAAATGAACAAAAAAAAAATACGGAATTAAAAGATGAGGTCGATTGTCTTTGGCACGTACCTTTTTTGTTGTTGTTTTTTTTTTTTTGGTTCTTGTTGATGGCTTTGTTTAAATCAGCTTATATGCCTAGAAAATTCATAGTGGAATTGTTGTTGGAAGAGAAATCGGTAAGGAATTTATTTTGTGTAAAAATCCAAAATTGAAACAATTTCTAATAATGAGCATTAAAAATAATAATCGGAAATAAAAGGATTTTGTTTTTTCCTATATTTTTGTTAAGGTCTCATTCTTATATACAATAATTTGTAAAAATACCTATTTACTTATATAAAAGAAAAATTATTGAATGCAAACGTAGAATCTTCAAAATTATGTTGTTATATATTGAATTTTAACCCCTTTTCCTTCGTACAGTAAAAATTTTCTGGGAGGAGTGTTGGGATTTTTATTAATATCGGGTAAATATTTTATATTTTAACGTTGGCAGGCAGTTACTTAAATTTTATTTTTTATGAATAATTTGTTAATTAAATAATAATTTTTTGGGTAACTGCGTGGTATACGTCGATTTGATTGCTATGCAAATAAATTTTTTTTAGTTCTTGTAACATATTAAATTTCTAGGGGATCTTGAGAGTCTCATACGAATAGAATCTCACATTAAAATTTTTCATAAATTAATTAAAAACGGAATAAAAATAAAATTTTCAAAACTTACCATTGACGGGTTCTGTTGTCAGTGACGGTGAAGATGACGGTGAAGTCGATTTTGGTGATAAATGATTATTTAGATCTGTAAAAAGAATATTTTGACAATATTAACTTGAATTAATTAAATTTGATTAAAAAAAGTTTAATAAAAACAATTTATTATTTTTTTTTTAGGTATATGTAAAGAAAACTCCCTTTTATTCGGAATAAAATACTTTTTATTTATACTCGTACTAATATATATATATAAAAGGAAAACACAGGAGAGAAGTTCATGAAAGCATTCCGATATTCAAATCAAACAAGGATTGCCTACTGAACACGGGCGAAGGTAACGCGGTTACTTGACTTTTTAAATTAATTACTCGACCAGTTTTAAGGATTATAACAGGTATAATTTTAGTTTGTAAAAAAAAAATAATAATAATCAAAGAAAAATTAAATTTTAGATTAAGTCAGGTAGAAAATTAGATTAAGTCAGGTATAATATTTCTAATTTCAATAGATTTTAATTTTATTTTTTGTTGTCTTAATTAGAAGAAAATCAGCCTTGATAAAGTGCGTATGTAGCATACTAAATATAATAGCAAAAATAAAAAGTATTTTGTTCCGAATAAAAGGGACTTTTCTTTTTATACACCTAAAGAAAAAAAATTATATTTCGGAAAAATTATCAACCATAGAAGAATTTTTTTAACAATTTATTACCCTATCTTTGGGCTGCTAGTAGGACACTATATAATCTCTATAAATGGTTCTTCTAGAAACGAAATCGAAAGGTAGGCAATTGAAGCAAATTCATTCCGAACTTTAGAACGAGGAGTCGAGAGCTAATTTCTTTAACCGTCTGAAAACATCAAAAATGATTGTGGGCGTATTTATACTGTAGTAATTGCATTTTTTGACTGAGAAGAGTGAAAAGCGCATTTTGTAGGAGGAATAGATGACAGAGCGTCTTCCGGACTATTACAAAAATGGAATGTGAATTTGTGACATTTCCTTACTTTTCAAGTAATCACAGCTATTATAATACTGAAATTAATTTTGGGATATCTAGGGAGGCTAAAATCATGTAGTTGGGGATTGGAATAATAAAATTTTTTAAGTGGTGACGTGACAGCGCCATAATTGGTCCGCTAAATTTTATAATAAGTTTTAAATTAAAAATCCTTTACGTATTATATGCACCATAACTTATTGCATGTGACTTGAAAATTTTAGAAATTTCCAAGTATTTTGTATAATTTTAAATGAAAAAATTAAAGAATTTTATTTTTTTTTTGTGATTATATTGTGAATGTATACTCGTATAAGAGTATTAGATTATATACATACATACATATGCATTGAATCCAATTTATTATCTAAACATGCAAAATACATTAGGGATTTTTTTATATATTTATACAATATAAATTGCAATAATAACATACAAAATGAAAATATCTCCATTTATAAATGCTAGCTAGCTATGTATGTATATAAGGATTTAAATACAAAATTATATATTATTTGTATATAACATTGACTGAATTCATTGAACTGTATATAGTATAAATTCTATTTTTATTATCAGGTTATTATCCTGCCAGACGATTTTCATTTGAATGAAAATTAAAATACAATTTTTTCCCCATGATTTTTTTTGCTCCTTTCTTTTACATATTCATGTACATATAATAATAATATGTGTGTGCAAATCTATATGTGTACAAAATATCAAATTTACTGTGTGTACATAGTGTATGTGGATATTTTAATAAAAATTGATATTATGCACGTAAACTTATTACAAATGTTATTTTTTTTCTAGAACTTGTTCAAATTATAAAAATTTTGGAATAAGTAATGTGTATGTACAGTTAGATGTATGTACTTACAATACTCGTATCTAGATAAAATTAGTAAAAAAAAAAAAAGTATTTAAAAATAAGATCCTTGTACATGTCATTTGAAAACATAAATAAGGAAAAAAAATATTGTAAGTCGAAATTTTTGTTGATGATTGCAAATGCATTATATAGCTTTATACGAGTACAGTATGGCGTGCTCCAGTGGAGGAAATTCAAAGCTAAGTGAAGATATCAATAAAAATTTCCATTAAAGCCGTCGCGGCCGAATTATGTGTCACTTTTGTACCACACTTTTAAATTATTCTATTTATGTCACTGTTGACATATATGACAAAATCTACAACTTAATCTAAGTCCAATGAAAGTAAACCGATACTATTATGTAAACCTTGTTTGACATCAAACTTTGTTTGAATGAAAATTATAGAAATTATTCTGTATATAATTGTCATAGCAAATTTCTAATTTTTTTTTTGTAAAATCTGAAATAAGTTCAGTTTTAGAATAAGTTCACTTTTAGAATAAGTTTTAGAATAAATTTTTTTGCATATATGTAAACCGTATAGTCATAGGTACGACATATGGTGGTGACATAAGAGTTTATATGAATATTATTGCATGGTTTTATTCACACATGTCATCTTCCGATTATATACGAAAAATAAAATTATTTATTCAGAATGCAGGTGAACACACTCCTAATTAAATACATTTTTAAGTTATAATCAAATTTATTTAGAATATACTGCAGAAATATAAATACACTATGGGGCTATAAGTTTGTTAATTTGCGGATCGGCTTATAAACATATAGGATATTTTAATTGAAATGGATTAGAATTTTTGGAAATTGCAATATTAATTTTATATAAACTGTAAATTTTATGAAAATAAGAATTTCTCAGAGCACATATTGTATGTATACGGTCTGTAAATTTTTAGACTATATGGTATGCTTGCATAAGATTATCACCTTTATAGTATTTAAATAATATTTTAAAAAATTCTTACAAAATTGAACAAAATATATAGGGAGGTTGCAAATGCAAATACGATTTAAGTACAAAAAGCAAGGATAATAATATGGGAAATATCCTTATGTTTTGTATATAAATATATATATGGTATATGATCAAAATATTATGATATTGAACCGATATATTTTTTCATTCTACAATGGGTTTGTAAATATACTTTTTTCTATTAGAATCCAGCTTTGCATAAAACTTCTTTTCTTCTCTTAACTGTAATATATGTATATATATATATATATATATATATATATATTTATATACGAGTATATATATAATGTATATATATATATATATGTTATAGACATACAATATATATATGATATATGATGTATATATGAATGGCTTTATATTATGTTAATGCTTATATATATATTTAATAAACAAAATACTTTTAGTATATATAAAATAAGAATGAATAGTTGGCAACGTTAATATTTATAGTACTCTTGGGGCTGACCAAATACAACACAAAATATAAGGAAAAAAATCATAATAAAAATAACCAAAATAACATTATAATCGAACCGGTAATGTCCTTTTTATAATATACACATATAAAATATTTGAATCTTAATCTAAATATAAAAAAATTTTATAAAGATTACTTCTTATTTTTTATCATTTAAGGTCAACCTTAAGTGAAAAAAAAAAAAATAGCAAACATACAATATATAAGATATACGGAACAAACATCAGGTATTAAAAGAACAACGAACATAAAGTATATACGGTGGTATAATATAGAGACCCTTTGGTCATAATCTTTAGAGTTATGCATGAAAAGTTTTTGTTCTTTTAAAAAGGACATTTAATTTTTTTTTTTTTTTTAATAAATGGCATATAAAAAGAGAAAAACAATTCTTTTTTTTTTTCTAAAAAAAAAGGGGAACATTTCAAAAAGTAAAACTATTTATATTCTATTTTAGTCTTTAAGAGGAGATGGGGATGATGACGATGGTAATGGTAGAGTTATTTGGGTGTATGGAAAATATTTATATTTATGGGGTGTTAAATCGCTATATAATTTGAATCGTAAAAATTAAAATGTGTAGTGATTTTTCTTTATTCACAATTGAATTGAATATAGATTCATCTTAATGAAAATCTTAAGTAAAACAAAGATAACATATTGTAGTTTTCTAATTCATCATTTGAAGAATTGGTTTTTGTGTTCAAGATTCTAATTCAAAGATTTTGTAATATAATATAATTAAAAGAAATATTAGTTAAGAAGATTGTAATTCTAGATAAGTTTAAGTGTCTTCGGTTGTTAAGTGTAGGCCGGTACTAGTTGAGAGGAAGTTCTTTATTGGTCTCTTAGTTGAAGGAAATGGTGCTTTCTGAAATTATTTTTAGTTTAACTAATCGCAATCATTACATTTTAGTTAATAGGAACGGAATCCCTTCAGGCTTGTTTGATTTGTTTTTGGTAGAATTCAATAAACTCGTAAGTTGGTATATTTATTTCTGGTTTCAGCTATAATGAAGTAAAAGAATAATTTGACTCTTGGATTTGTCAATAAAATTGTTCTATTTTGAATGTAAGGATATACTTTTTCATCAAATTAGAAATAATCATTTGGTTCTGGAAGCGGATGTCGAAAAGCCATTGCCTACTATTGTTATATTATTAAATATCTTCAGTAGAACCATCTATTTTATTGTCTTTGGAATATTTATTTATTAAATGTGCTTTATTAAAAGGTTGAAGAGAGAATACTATATCACCCGAATGCTGATGATAATGAGAAAGTGCTTTTATTTAGAATGCAGTCAACACATCTAAGAGTGATTATGGCTTCCATTAACATCGTTTATCTAGTATCAGGGTGGGAAAAAGATAGTGCCCACGATAGAAAGAAAATTTCTTTAAGTAAATTTACTCCGGCCAAATGTGCAATTCTGTATGTGGTAAGCCAACAAAGTAAATTTGAAATTTTTTAATTATTCACTTAAACGCAACGCCTGTATTCTTAAGGCACATTAATTGGATTTGCAAATTATTGGTTATAATTTCTACAACTAAGATGTAGTAAAGGATAATAATTACGTGTGGTATAGATCTTCTACAATAATTCTTGGAAAAATCAATAAATTAAAACAAAATACAAAGCACGGTCGTACGATTATCATCAAAGAAATTATTAGATCCAGAAACAATACCCAATAATTTCATTTTTCTTTTCTTAATTACG